GCCCCCCCGGAGGTGCCCGTGGGCGAGCGGGGGGCGCAGCGCCGGGCTCTGCAAGAAGCACCTTCCTCACGCAAATACATCCTTTATCCTGGAGAAACTTATTTATTGTATTTGACTTCCTAAACAAATAGCGCGTTTCTATAAAGTGGGAGGTTAGAGGTATGTTTAAGTTAATATCCCATATTTAAAAATCCATCCTGCGTTGTATCATTCCTCTTTGGTTACAAAGCGGAGTAAGCTTTCTCCTCTCCGATTCCTTGTCGTCGGTTTATGTATCGCCTTTTCTACTGCGGCTCACCTGCTGCAAACGTGGATAAAGCGTGGCACTCGCCAGCCACGTTCCCAGATGCTTAAATTGCTTTTGTTGTTACTTCCCTTCAGGGTGAAACCTCTGGCCCTCTATTAACTTTCTTAAGCTTTTGTAACAGTATGTATTCTACGCGTGTAAAACATTGTTCTACTACGTAACTTAAGGCTGTGATTTCCATTCGCGTTTTGAAAGACGGGAACTATCCTGGCAGGATTTATACTCTTCCAGGCTTGCTTATCTGTGACTCTAAGCTATCGTAACCCAAGAGGCAGCCAAAAAGGCTTATGTCAGATCCTGAGAATGCTGAAGCAGATTTTTATAGTAAGAAGAAGGAGCCCTAGCAGTGCTTGTCGTTTCAGATCCCAAATTTGAGAGCCGGGTTTCTCAGAACATGTTTCTAAAGCAGACAAGAAGGTTTAGTCTGTGCCAGCACAGTGGCATTTCTTGTTGGTGCCTTTGTACTTTTGCTAGCTAAGCTATTCATAAATTTATTTGTGCTCCTAGACAATAGCAAAAGTGCCTACTGGGAAGGAGGGGGAGGATTGTTTGGGTTTTTAGACTCATTGCTATTTAATTGTCAATTTGGGGTAACATAGCTACTAGGTTACAGATACTGCAGGCAGAATGGCTCTTTGGATGGAAAAAGTTTATATGTTGTTTTAATAAATATTTGAAAACCATGTTAAAGCACATTTTTTTTCTTTTATTGCTCTGCTTGAGATGCTCTTGATTTAAAACATGCTGTTGTAATATATCTTTTCAGCAAAAACTTTCAAGTTTGTAGATCTTACCAAATGAAATAACTTGCTTTTTAGTAAAAACAAATAAAAATTTACAGACCCAAGAGGTAAGCAAGTTTCATTAAAAACAATGATACAGAAGGGCACATAGGGTGGATTTTTTTGAGTTTGTAAGTTGGTTTTTTTTTAAGGAACTAGTGACCTCATGGCACTGGAAGAGAAGCTGTTTGATGCACATCTGAGGTCTGCTCTTGTCAATCCTGCTCACGTTCAGTTACACTTTGGTCTGCAAACCATCCAGTTGGTAAGTTAATCAGAAATGCAGCGGGTCAACAAAAGTCACCTGGGACCAGAATGCTGAAGGCACCGGGAAATGTCCAATGAAGGTATGTGCTTACAGAACCTCTGGACCATCCAGGCACCTAGCTTTCGCTAAAGGCAGTGAGATGTAGCTCCTAGCAGGATACTTTAGATGTCAGTTTGCACCTTTAGGTCTCCCGTATCTTTGGAGATCTGCCTGAAAAAACTCAGTCGTTTCATTGATTGAGTTCAGTGGAACCACTCAGTGTTATTTTCAAGTATGTTGTTAAATAAGAAGGTACATCATGTTCTAGCTCTTAAAAATTAATTTATTTGTGATACTTTATTTGCCACTAGGGTTAGATGTAAAAACACAAGAGCGAAAAGGGCCATCTGAGTCACTCAGTCTTGTCTGCCCACTGTCACAGCAAACTATATAGCATTTCTGGGATGGACCAAGCTCCAGAAGTGCCTGAGGGTTTCATTCAGGTCCAGTTTCTCTCTCTGAATCTCACCTGTTTAGGAGTAGATGCCAAAGATCTCATGTGATTCCATTTGTGCCCAGATGCTTCTTAAAAAGAGTTTTAGTCTCTGCTTACTCACTTTCTGAGTCATTGGGTATAACACGAACTGTGATCGCTAATCAAGAAACCAAAGTGGCAGGCCATGCTAGTTTTTTAGCTATATGAGAGCAGTATTCAAATCCTAATAGAAAAATAGTAGTAGTAGCGTAAAACATAGCTTCTTGAATATGCTTTAAGCAGCTTAGCTATTCTGTTTGCAGTAACAAGCTTTTTATCAGCATATGCAGCATACCAAGAGAGTAAATGTTTGCAGAGCGTTTGCTTTTCAAAGCAGGACAGTACGTGACCTATGGAGATTTACAGTATAACTCATTCTGCTCAATACCCCTATAAGCTGTAATCTAACAAAACAAGCCCATGGTTCTTTAAAATCTACACTAATGTTTCACCTGATAAATATGAATATTTTGGTAAATATCTCCATTGATTTATGTTTCAGCCAAATATGAACATTTTTATATTTGAAACTGGAACAAAATCAGAATTCTACTCTAACATTGATTATAAAAGGCTTTAACTGTTCTCTTTCAAAAAGCAAATGCATACATCTGAGTCTGGTCGATGTGTAAGTTCACATGTTTAGTAAAAGGGGTCAGTCTTAAGTGGATTTTATGAAGCTGGTACAAAACTCTTTTAGGACATTTCAATCTACTTGAATTTGACGTAGATTGTTTGGCTGGTCTAAGCAAATGTATATATTAAACATATCCATTAAATGTATCAATTTTGCGTCACAGGTAATACATTAAATGGCCTTTATAAATCTGCAGTGCCTGCAAGAATGAGGTGTTCGGTGATACCCAGCAGTTTAAAGTTTTAAATTCAAAATAGTGGGTTTTTTAAACTATATTGCAATCTTCTTTGCAATCTTAAGTTTTTTGCTGCTTTTGCTTTTTTTTTATCTGATAAAACTTACTTCCTTAGAGATGAAGATCTTCTGGTTTTATAAAACCTGTTTCAAACAGTAAAGGGTTCTCTTAAGTTTTTTGCTGCTTTTGCTTTTTTTTATCTGATAAAACTTGCTTCCTTAGAGATGAAGATCTTCTGTTTTTATAAAACCTGTTTCAAACAATAAAGGGTTTTTAAGCAGAGAGCTTCAAAAGGAGGATTGTAGCAGCTCTTTTGACTCAATAGCTCCTCCTGTTATGTTTAAATATTGCATCAGTACTGGGTTCTTTTTAAATGCAGAGGGTGGAGCTAAAATTAAGTTGACTTGGTGGTTTTTGTGTGAATTTATTAAAGAGTTGATGGAACTGAAGAGCAAGTGACAAGGTTTTCTGAAAAAAAAAAACACAACAAAACAAGTAATGCAGCTGCAACAGTCATACAGAGCTTACTTAATACTTCAGTTTTCTTTGCCACTCAGCGTGTGATTTAACTCATCAAGTTACAGCAAGGCATTAAAAGACAAGCCTCCACTCCTCTCCAGGTAGCTTATTTTTTAAGGCAGTGCTCACCTGTGAACAGTCTCATGTCTACCAATATATGCACAGAGAGAAAGATGCTCAAGAGTATGAACATGGAGCAAACTGTGCTGCCTCACATCAGCACTGATAAAAGCTTGGGAAAGAAAAGGATGCGCTTGCCTTCTGTCAAGTCAAGGGCTAGGAATTCCAGGTGGTGGTGGTGCAAATGGTGACTTTCTAATTTGCAACTTCCACAATTTCACAGGTTGACCGTCCTGAGAAACCAAGAAGTTCAGGGCAGCTTTCGAAAACATGGTAAGCCTCTCAAAGATCCTGTGTGGGCCAAGCTGGGTGTATAAATGGTCTGCAGCTAAGTCGTTGCTCCCATAGGTTGTCACGTGCTCAGATGCAGGTTGCCAAGATGTGTACCTCAGAAGCAAAAAATATACTTGCCTTAGTCAACAGAAACAACCTGGTG